TGTCTAGGGCTTCTGCTAGTCTGGGCAGCTAAGGGAGGACTAGAAAGACTTGCAAGAAACGTCGAGGCTCCAGAGAAGAGTGACCAAAAGGGGTCAGTATTTGTTAAGTTGAGACACCAGCTTGACTGATAAAAGTCGAGGAGGTTTTCCTGTGGAAATGTAGAGGATTTAGCACCAGCATCCTTTCCCTGGCACGGCGTGGTGCCCACACTCAGTTCTTGTGACGCAGGGACTACCTTACAGATGAGCCAATCCCCCTGGTTAGACTGAACCTGCATCTGTCTCTAATATTTACTTTTCAAATACTTCCTGAAGAAAACTCTTCCGGCACAGCAGCTTGGACGACAGATGTGAGTCGAAGAGACTGTCTGCACAAAGCAGTGGTCACTGATCTAAAACCAGACTGCTCTCAGATCAAAGTACAGCGTGCCGAGAATAGCGTGGCATTTATGAGGAGCACAGAAGATGCAGAAAACCCTCTGAAAACAATCTAACAGGAATCAGAAGGTTTAGTGTCTGGAAAACTATTCCAGATATTATGAAGATAACTCATTATAGGATAATAGTATTAATTTAGCTTTTCATTCTTTAGTGCAGCCCTGTCTATCCAAGCTGCTTTGTTCTATTGGAGTGCAGTTTGGCAATACTGCTAACCCCACGTAAGAGATACCTGTTGCTGCGGGTATTGCCCTGGTGCCCCCCTGTCCAGCTCTGCTCCCTGCCTCTGCACTTCCCTGGCACTGACATTGCTGCTGACCTGAACTTGCAGTGAGCCGTCCAGGAAGCCAAATCACCCCCTGATCAACACTACCAGTTTAGCTTGCCCGTGAATCAGCCGGGTATTAGTGCCAGCCTAAAGGGAAGTAGGAACCTGTACAGCCAGGGGCTCAGAATCAGCTTCACGTGGTGTTAGCCTACCCATGACTTTGGATTTTTCCTTTGCTGGTTGATTGCCTGTATGGCAGCACACCTGGGCAATGGATCTGTACTTTGAGGATGACTTTCTTGGGAATAAGAGAGATGCTGCTCTCTAGGATTAGCGTATGTCAGCAAAATCATACAGCATGGGAAGAACCATACGGCGTATCTAGCAGTCCGCATTCTCTATAGCACTGCTGCAGTGCTGTAGAGAAGGGCAGAACCCTTCCATGGCTAGAGCAGTTACACAAGATTAACATTTAAATTTAAGTAGGAAATTATGATTTGAGCTCCTGAAAGCAAAAGTCACATCTTCAGCTCTGGCTGTTGCTGATTCAATTGCCTTTCACTTACTGTCTTTATCAGCTGTGTAGTATTATGTCTAAATACTACTGAGGTTTCCTGTAATTTGAGGACAGTGAAATGGAACAGCCAGATTTTCATCTGTAGTTGATCAGAATGTATTAATTGAAAACATCATTTCTAAGTTTGACGTGTTAGGAAGATAAGGCGCTAAATGGAAATCTTTGTATACAACTAAAAGCTTCAATTTGGTAATGAAATATTTGCTTGGAAATTGCACATTTACGCAATTGCATTTGCTGTGAGATTGTGTAAGTAAATATTCTTACTTAGTCTTAACAAAAATTAGGTAATGATTTCTAGGTAAGCTGCTGGAGACTTTTTCTGTAACATCTTTGAGATGCTGCTTGTTCTGCATGCCAGCAAAAGGTTTTAATCTTCCATCTGAGAGATTTAAAGAGAGATGGTCTTTGAGACAAAGCTGAGGCAGAGATTTCCTGTGCTGTGAATTAATAACCTTAAAAGTTCAAGCAAGAAAGTCTTTCACTGTTCTGGCTACCACGTGTTCATAAAGCTTCAAAACCCCATTCAGATGGAGTCCTCAATCCGGTGTGGGATGGGAGCTGACCCCTGGTGTTCTGCGCTGTTCTTAATGATGGGCTTGCTTTCATCTTTGCGTTGCTAGGTCTGCTTTTGTCAAAAGATCAAAAACTGTTTAGCTTTCAGCACACAGACAATCAAACTCCAATAAATGAGCTGCTGCCCGTAGGTTTTGTGCATACGTAGGTGACTTGCTTAGATGGGTCTGGGTTTAGATCCAGAAAAAGAAAAGGCCATTTCTGTTACTGGGCTGCAGACTCGGAGCCTTATTTTAGTTACTGGTCCTGTGGAGAGCACAGAGCCACAGTGACAGAACTAATCTAGTGGCACTCCCGGAAAATACAGTAATTGTCTGGAATACTGTTGGAGAGGAAGATTTTGACTCCACTTTGGGTGGAAGTCCAAGCTGACAAGTTTTGGCTGGTGGATACTTGCAGGTTGTCGAGCTGTGCAGAAAAGCCTCTGTGGGAGGACAACCATCTACTCGTTAATTAGCAGACATGGCAAAGGGAAGAATTTTTCAGTTGGAGTGGGGAACCACGTGCGAAGGAAAGCTGAAGTACTTCAGCTGTTTGTCATCTCCATTTACTGTCACTGCACCTGCTTCTTTTAAGTAAACATGGGGAATGTGCATATATTGCATAGATTAGGTGGGTAAATACAGGAGACTGTCAAGCGATTTGGCCTGCAGGCCCTCGGTTTCAGGGTTTATTGCAGTAGTATAACTAGAAATTTTTATGTACAAAATTTGCACTATTGATTAAAAAAATTAATATTTAATCACAAGCATACAACAAGGTCAAAGAATCTTTGGTAAGGAATTTAATAAGCTTTTCCTTGCTAGCACTCAAACACTAAGTAAATAAAAATTTAAGTGGAAACATTTTTAGCGTACGCGTTTAAAAATGTATGGGGCTCAGCACTGACTGACTTAATTCTGATTCATCCATTGACCTTGTTATATAAAACTCAGTGCCCTTTTTAGAGGGAGAGTTGCAAATTGTGCTTCTGCATATTTATTTAGGAGGGTCAATCTTCTGGGTGTTCATACCCTAATTCCAGTGCTAAGTGCAATCACAACATTGATTTTTCTCACTAAACATAGCCTACTTTACCCTGGGAGGGAATTTTTCTTTAATGGGCTTTATATAATGGCATATGTGAAAATCACTCAACGTAATGCCCCATAGTGTAGTTAATTAACAAAATGGCATTGTAGCCATGGTCCTTCATCCTCTGGCAGTGTATTCTACCACTAACCTTGGCCATACAGAATCTGTGCCCTAATTAACAGGAGCCCAGGTATTGACTCTGTCAAGCTACATGGTGGAAAGAGCAATTTGCAGCTGCTGACAAAGTTGTAATTCTGTTGAAAATCCAAACGTGAGGAATCTTATTTTTATTGATGTTATGCTGTTTCAGAGTCCATCTCAAGGAATAGCTGAACAAAGTATCTAAATGATCAATTTTTACTTCTCTCCAGTTGCTAAATAACAGTATCCTAAAATACATCTAAACATCTCCTGAAAGACATACCACCAAAAATTTACTAATGGATATACACAGATTTCAGTATTGATAGTACTGGTTTTGTATTAATGTTTATTTATTATTGATTTATTTAAACTGTCTTATGCTGGAAAACTTAATGGCGCTTAGAGCTTTAATGAACCTTCAGTAACAGATTTGATTCTTCCTTTTTCTATTTTCATTTCTGACTAATTCACTGAAAGCATTGGAGATGTATCATGTTTGTGCTAGTTTCACTAGAACAAAGGAGTAGTCAGTGAAGCTCCATGGTGTCTTACGTAACAAATGTAAAAATCAAGCACTTACACTTTTATACCGAGGAAAAAAAAGTTTTCTTTTTCAATGACTTAAAAAGTGTTTTCTCTCACTGTTCAAAAACTGCAACAAGAAGACAAGTACACTCTTAGTCATTCATGACTGTTTTTAGAGTGTTTCAGCATCTAAAGATGCAAAAGTACCATTTTTTCCAAGGAACTTAAGTGCCAGGTCCTTGTAACGGTCTAGAAGATATTGACATGTATTAGGTGATGATTTCTGCTCAGCATCTAACATTTTGTATTGCATAAGTATTTTAGAGAAATACAATTTTTCACCATGCTTTAGCCTCTTTGCTGTGGTTTTTTTTAGAGGCAAGGAAGACCAGGCTCTGAAGGCGTGAAGTTAAGCAGCCCCTTTCCCTTCTCCATCCGATGCTGAGGCCAAGCTCCTCGCAGAGCTCACGTGCTTCTGACCGGTGTCCTGCTCCCCACATACTCACTGTCAGGTGTGAATCTGGTGGGCTGGTGGAACTTTGTCCCTCGGGGTCTTTTGAAGAGAAAAACTGCATAAGGATCTGTATTTCTCATTCCTGGTGCTTTGTAAGAGAACTGAAGATCAGCGATTAAGCGATCTTGCACCCAAATAGCATCTTTGCTGGGAGTTCGTTATGAAAGTGCTCCTTAATTAAGCAAGTGCTCTTTGATTAACCCTTCAAGCAGTTATTGCTGATATTATAGCATCACAAGATAAATACTGTTAACTTTTCCGTGAGATGTAACAATTAACAATGGCAGAAATTTGCATCCTCTAAGAACATCTCTGAGTTAAGAGATCTTGTCTTAACAGCTGTATGCTTTCCAGGCTGGAGATTTCAAGCAGAAATTTCCTTGGGAATCACAAAGAAGGAATTGTCAGGCAGAAGAGTGACAACCTGTTCACTGTTATCTACAAGAATGTCATAAGGAATAAAAATGGTTCATTCAAAAAACTCCAGTGAAGTATTCCTCTGTGCAATGAGGAAGCCCAAGTTTGTCTTGATAGAGATGAGCAGAACCTTCTGTGATGGGACATTATTTCTCTTTGGGAGAAATTATTGCCAGAATAAAGAAAAGCACCTTGACTGCAGGTTTTCCTACAGGTTCAGTCTTCGATATAACTCCAGCCTGTTGTTGGCAGAATATACAGACACACAATTAGCTAGAGCTGGTTTAGTGCAAAAAAAGGGATACGTTGCCTTAGATCTGCATTCGTGATACCACTCTCTTATTTACTGATGGATTAAACCCATATCTAATACTTCACTTAAAGGTGGTACACTGAGATTTCCGTGCCTGAGCGACATTCGAAAGACCACAGTCCTGTAAACTTCTTTCATTTGCTGTTTCCAACAGGGCAAAGGTGAAGAAAGGTGTAAACATTCTCAGTGCAAAGACAAGTGACCCCCGGCAGTGGGACGTGAAACAAGAGGTGGGGAATGGTGGAAAGCATTCGACCACAACAGTTATTTGTCAGAGGATAGCACCAAGTTCAAGGAACAGGTATGAAACCTCATATTCTCAGCACGTTAAACTCATTTATATCCATGATACCATTCACTGGTTGAAAGACTTAGGGCTCATATTACAACTACTCCTAGCTATTAAACCTGTAGCCTGGAAATCTGGAGACACTTATGTTAACTACGGTACCATCTGCTGATCTATAACAGCGGATCTCAGTTTCCACGCAATAAAATTCATCAATTTAAATTAAAGAATTAATAGAATAGGTCTATGTTGCAGAGGTTGGGGGGCATGGAGGGCAGGGTGCGAGTCATTTTGACATAAATATGAATATTCTTAATTGTAAAGGTTTTTACTGAACGTAACGTTTTGGCTTGATAGTTTTGACCTTGTTTCTCTGAACATATTACAGCCTCTGTGGTTGGTTCATCAGGCAAGCAAGGAATTCTTCCACAGTGAACCACTGTAACTTCCAAGCATTGCTACAGGATAGTTCAGACCTTTCAGGATTTAGTGTCCTGTGTGTAACATAGGAAAAAAAAAACAACTTTTGCAAACAGTTACTTCTTCCAGAACTGGGGCTAAGCCGTACTCTGGTAACTGTCAGAGGCAAAGCAGTGCACTCCAGGGAGCACTGGTATGAACTGGCCCGCCAGTGCCTGCTTTCCTGTTTAATATGTTTTCACTGAGGCATGGTCTAGTTGTTCCACACACGGAAAAGCCTTATTTTTTCAGCAAGTAGGATTGTCTGTCTTCCACAGCACATAGCAAACTCATATATTGCTGCTTTCGGTGGAAATTGTTTTGCTCTTGTATGGATCCAAGCAATGCTTCCCTAGCTCTGCACTTATTATTAAAACCTGGGCTCACTGAAGAATATCATAAAGTCTTTGGCGGGTGCTGGGCTGGTTATTGCTTTCCCATGCAGTTCATCCATACTATCTTCAGGCACAGAAAACCTGAGCAGATTTGTATTCTGTGCCTGGGAAATCTTAGACTTCTGTAAAGTGCAGGAATTTCTCGTCATGAGCAGGTCACTAATTCAGTGTATTTACACTTGATGATATCAGTGCAGTTAGTGAGATATTCAGTGGAGAGTTGGGGAAGAGGTTTGTAAAGGGAAAGGAAAAATGTATCATTTTAGCCTGCCAGAAGTAAAAAAATCCAAACAATGTCATAGGGAGAATGTGGCTTCAGAACAGCATGTAACTCCGAATGTATTTGCAACTGCAGAGCTATAATAGTCAGGTTAGCAAACCCCAAATTAAGTATTTTCAATCCAATTTGCATAAAGCTTAATTAACTCATAACAATATTTTTAGCACTAATTATGCAAATAAAAGTCAATGTCTTAATTAATGCCTCTTTCATTTGTGTATGTAAATAGTTGCTATCTTCTGAAAGCACAACGAGCCTAGGTTTGAATGAAATGTTTGTGTATGAGGAAGAGCTGGACAGGGAAACCTGGGCATGTGTATACTGAGATCCTCATGGGAAAGCACGCAGTGTGGTGGGCATTACACTGAGTTTCTAAGTGCCCCTTGGAGCCCTCTGCACAGAGCACAAATATTCTATTAAGCTAATTTAATTTGGTTCAGAATTTCAAGTCCCTAATGGGATCTTTCTGTGCTGCCACCAGGTTTTTCGAGGCACTGCAGTTCATTTGGGTGATGTGCAGTTCAGTAGCAAGGTCAGTGTAGATGTGAGGTACTGTTCTGGAGTTCCAGCATCAACACAAGCTCATCTTCTCTTGCAGCAAACTCAGCCAGGTCATAAATATGCAGAGAGGTGTTTTTCACTCTCTTTGCAGAAGAGCTTTTGAAAAGCAAGTAAATGAAAATTTGTAGTTCTTTAATGCTTTATGAACATTCACACAGCTTGTCAAGAAGACGACAGTACTCCCTACATGACCAGTAGTATTCTCTACATGACCAGTAGTATTCTCTACATGACCAGTTTTCTCTACACGACCAGCTATTTCTACCACGGCTCACAGAATCAGCTAGCAGGAAAGGAGAATAAAGGTTCTGCTACACTTGAGCCTTATTCCTCTATTGCAACTAACAGGCTTCCCCAGGTATTGTCACTTGTCCCCAGTTGGTTGTGAAGTAAGTCTGAATATTATTTAAATTCATAACAGATTCTCAGAGCTTTGAGGTGCTGCCCTCTTCGAACTATTTTCTGGTAGCCAGATAAAACTGCACGCAGGATTCAGTGATGTGAGAGTTGTTAAGCACATGAACAGGAAACCTGGCATTTCTCAGTGTGCTCTCGTTTACTCAGGAGTCATCCTGACACACC